ATAACACAGTCAAAAACCATCACTGAAAGGGCTTTAACATGCAGGTGTTGATTTCTAGATCATTCAACACAAATCTTTCTAAGGAGCGTTGTCGCTCAGGTCTTGTGTGTGTGTGTGTGTGAGAGAGAGAGAGAGGGGGACTGCTGCCCGTACTGTGTTTTGTTCGATGGGCCACTCTCCTGGAGAGAGGTAAAGTGAGGAAACATACTGGCCAAAAGCGCTGTCCCCAGTCAGCCATGAAAACAGCATCAGTGTTCCTGCTGCTAAGCTGCCAGCGCTGAAATGAGACTGTCTAATGACACAATACCCTGGGAAGGCTCAGGTCAGCAACCCTGCCTCGAGGGAAACCTGCCGTGTTATTTAGCTGGCCGGCCCACCCTCCACACATGGACAAAAGTGAGAGGACTGAGAATGTCCCCGTAATGAAACCATCTCTACCTCTCAGAGTGGGTGTTATTACTCAACAGGGATCCGTGTCTGAAAAGGACTGCATGGGCAGTTAATGATCGAATGTCTTAATTTTTTTTTTTTATGGAAACCTTCCCCCCCCCCCCCCCCCCCCACATAAGACAATAAAGCAACAAAAAAAAAATAATGAATGCAATGGTCTGAGCTCTAAACCCAAGCTCCAAAACATTCCAAAATAGTTTTGATGTTTAACATGCAGTCTCATTCTGTTTGCTCCCCAGGTCAAATAAGCCAGGTGCTCATGAATATAGAAGGAATTAAAGATGCGTGAAGTTATTCATTACAAGTTGGAGATTTTCTTTACAAGGTTATTCTGCTTTCGTTTTGCTTTCCAGTCGGAGACACGGCTGTCAGATCGTCTCCTGTTCTCTCTCCCCAGGTGGCCCTGAGGGCTGGATACACAGACAGCAACAACAGCCCTCACAATTCATCCGAATGCAACAGTCAGCCCTGGTTCTCATAAAGGAAGGTTGGTACGGGAGTGTACATGGCTCATAAACGCAGGTCAATGTTGAACGTGAAAAGGGCAGAAGGATAATGAATACCGAAATGAAAACTGCACCTTTTTTTAAATCTACTCATTGTTCATTTTACTTTCTGACAGGAGTAAACAATTGATGTAGCAAGATCACATTTTCCAGTAGATGGCCAGTTAGAATCAAACTCCCAGACAGGAAATTTACATTTGTATGTATCACCAGTGTGCGGTGTGCATTAAAGATCTCTCTCCTCCCATCACTGACGGCATTAACTCCCATCCCAGCTCCATACAAGCAACCAGCACATGGCTGTCTCACTGGGAACGCCAATTAGAGTTAAACTGAAATGTTCTGTTAGGAGGAGGGTATTGTGATCAAGGCTGCTAACTATGGTTAAATAGCAATCTCTATGTGATTGCCTGTCAAACTGATTTATAAGAGGGAATTCAGAAAGAACATTCCCTCCATGCTCATCCCCGATGTCATTACCTACTTCTTAAAACATCAATTCTGACTTTTTTTTAAACATACTTTTATTTCTTGGTTCAAATACTCCTCTAGACTTTACCACAGAGACATGCTGTGAGATGGATGTAATGGAATGAAATCGTCAAGGAATACATAGTGGAAGTGAAATAGCAGCAATGCATCAGAGTACTTGGGTTGTGTCTGAAAACACTAGCCATCAAATCTTTGCATCCTCCTTCCTTACCTCAATATTCCTCTCAAAGCAAATGTGAGGAGAGGCTCCTCGGACCTCCTCCTCCCCAGAGCTTTGAGGAAACAAGGAAGCAAGGATTTAGGACAGCTAGGAACGTTTTCAGACACTATTATGGACGACGCTGATGAAACGAGAGCGTTCTGATAATAGAGCTGTTGCCAAGGACACTGATAACACACTGCAGAGATGGCAACACCCGGCCGTGTCCTGCGAGTTTAGCTAATCACAGTGTTTGAGTGTGAACACAAGGCTTTATCTGCTGCTGGATAGTGTGTCATTTTCATTCAGATTGCTCTTCCAAAAAGCAATGAATGTTACTGCTAGAACTGTCTGTACTGCCACACATCTGGTGATGAGGCTTTTCATGTAAGAGTGTAAACGAATTAGCAGGCAACCATTGGGTATTTCTGAATGCCAGTGAGAGTGCTGGGTTTATACAGCGGCTGGTGCTCGGGATAAATCATGTAGCATGGGCTCCACACAGTGGTGGCACAGGGAACAGGAAAATCAGATATCTTCACTGCATAGTCACTTAAATAACTCTACCTACATGTACATTCAGTGGGGAGAACAAGTATTTGATACACTGCTGATTTTGCAGGTTTTCCTACTTACAAAGCATGTAGAGGTCTGTAATTTTATCATAGGTACACTTCAACTGTGAGAGACGGAATCTAAAACAAAAATCCAGAAAATCACATTGTATGATTTTTAAGTAATTAATTTGCATTTTATTGCATGACATAAGTATTTGATACATCAGAAAAGCAGAACTTAATATTTGGTACAGAAACCATTGTTTGCAACTACAAAGATCATATGTTTCCGGTAGGTCTTGACCAGGTTTGCACACACTGCAGCAGGGATTTTGGCCCACTCCTCCATACAGACCTTCTCCAGATCCTTCAGGTTTCGGGGCTGTCGCTGGGCAATACGGACTTTCAGCTCCCTCCAAAGATTTTCTATTGGGTTCAGGTCTGGAGACTGGCTAGGCCACTCCAGGACCTTGAGATGCTTCTTACGGAGCCACTCCTTAGTTGCCCTGGCTGTGTGCTTTGGGTCGTTGTCATGCTGGAAGACCCAGCCACGACCCATCTTCAATGCTCTTACTGAGGGAAGGAGGTTGTTGGCCAAGATCTCGCGATACATGGTCCCATCCATCCTCCCCTCAATACGGTGAAGTCGTCCTGTCCCCTTTGCAGAAAAGCATCACCAAAGAATGATGTTTCCACCTCCATGCTTCACGGTTGGGATGGTGTTCTTGGGGGTTGTACTCATCCTTCTTCTTCCTCCAAACACGGCGAGTGGAGTTTAGACCAAATAGCTATATTTTTGTCTCATCAGACCACATGACCTTCTCCCATTCCTCCTCTGGATCATCCAGATGGTCATTGGCAAACTTCAGATGGGCCTGGACATGCGCTGGCTTGAGCAGGGGGACCTTGCGTGCGCTGCAGGATTTTAATCCATGACGGCGTAGTGTGTTACTAATGGTTTTCTTTGAGACTGTGGTCCCAGCTCTCTTCAGGTCATTGACCAGGTCCTGCCGTGTAGTTCTGGGCTGATCCCTCACCTTCCTCAGACCGAGGGTGATTGACCGTCATCTTGAACTTCTTGCATTTTCTAATAATTGCACCAACAGTTGTTGCCTTCTCACCAAGCTACTTGCCTATTGTCCTGTAGCCCATCCCAGCCTTGTGCAGGTCTACAATTTTATCCCTGATGTCCTTACACAGCTCTCTGGTCTTGGCCATTGTGGAGTGGTTGGAGTCTGTTTGATTGAGTGTGTGGACAGGTGTCTTTTATACAGGTAACGAGTTCAAACAGGTGCAGTTAATGAGTGGAGAACAGGAGGGCTTCTTAAAGAAAAACTAACAGGTCTGTGAGAGTCGGAATTCTTACTGGTTGGTAGGTGATCAAATACTTATGTCATGCAATAAAATGCAAATTCATTACTTAAAAATCATACAATGTGATTTTCTGGATTTTTGTTTTAGATTCCGTCTCTCACAGTTGAAGTGTACCTATGATAAAAATTACAGACCTCTACATGCTTTGTAAGTAGGAAAACCTGCAAAATCGGCAGGTGTATCAAATACTTGTTCTCCCCACTGTATTACCTCGACTAACCGGTGCCCCCGCACATTGACTCGGTACCGGTACCCCCTGTATATAGCCTCGCTACTGTTATTTTACTGATGCGCTTTAATTATTTTATATTTTTAGGTATTCTTTCTTAAAACAGCATTGTTGGTTAAGGGCTTGTGGTCCTCTGTAGCTCAGCTGGTAGAGCACGGCGCTTGTAACGCCAAGGTAGTGGGTTCAATCCCCGGGACCACCCATACACAAAAATGTATGCACGCATGACTGTAAGTCACTTTGGATAAAAGCGTCTGCTAAATGGCATATTATTATTATTTACGCATTTCACCGTAAGGTCAACACCTGTTGTATTCGGCGCATGTGACAAATAACATTTGATGTGAGTACAGGACAACCAACTACTGCAGTGTTCAGCAGGACACAATGTTGAGGAACATTCTGATAGAAATATTGTTAAATCGAACAAATGTCCCTGTGACGTGCAGACTGAGGAATCACGTCAGTTCTATTCATGACACTGTTCCACTTCTATTGCGAAGAAGTATCGCTACGGGGAACGTTGATGAGATGTAGTCAGTCACAGACAGTCTAAACAAGAAGAAAATGGAATTCTCCTCGCATGCTTGCACTGAAATTCTGTCCTCTGATTGAGACAAAACGCAAGGGGAGAGGGCCTCCCGAGTGGCGCAGCGGTCTAAGTCACTGCATCGCAGCGCTGGAGGCGTCACTACAGACCCGGGTTTGATCCCGGGCTGTAACACAATCAGCCTTGATCGAGAGTCCCATAGGGCGGAGCACAATTGGCCCAGCGTCGTCCGGGTTTGGCCGGGGGGGCTTTACTTGGCTCATCGCGCTCTAGCGATGTGGCGGGCCGGGTGCCTGCAGGCTGACCTCTGTCGTCAGTTGAACAGTGTTTCCTCCGACACATTGGTGCGGCTGGCTTCCGGGTTAAGCGGGCGGGTGTTAAGAAGCGTGGTTATGCGGGTCATGTTTGGAGGCTCGACCGTCGCCTCCCGAGCCCATTGGGGAGTTGCAGCGATGAGACAAGATTGAAATTGGGGAGAGAAATACAGAAATACAACCCCCCCCAAAACAACGCAAGGGGAGAATCAGTGAATTAATGCAGTGACAAAGCAGGTTTCCAATGTCTCAATACAAAGTCATCAGTGTCATGCGTTTCAGATGAGACAAAACAACCAGAAATTAACAGAATGTTGAAAAACAAAGAATTAAATTAGATTATATTTTATCAAAATGTCAAGTTTCCAGGATGAAGAAAATAACAGTGCAACAGTTATTTCAGACATACATATTTACAAAACAGGAAGCATTCAGCAAAGTTGAAAAAAAGGCAGCAGTTTCAAGTATCGTGGAATTTTTCAACACATCAACAAAAACATCCCTCCATATAAAACATCTACGGGAGAAAAGGCCAGTTAATAATTTCGCTATGACAGCATTTAACATTTTAAAGGCCATTTCATAATTTCCTTATGATAACATTCAATAGTTCCGCAAACACATTTTACAAAACTTAAATACAAAAAGCTTAAATTCATATTTAAAAAACAGCTTACCAAAATTCAAAGCTTTCTCTTGTATTTACTCTGGGGGAATACTGTAGGCAAGGGGGAATACTGTAGGCAAGGATACCACACATAGTTCGTTGAATGGCAACCACTGATATACGCTGCTCAATAGTGTAACCCCGTAGACTTGGAAGCAGTGCTGATTGTTGTCAGCTGATCTTAGTGTTGGCCATTTCAGTGGTTTGGCCATTTCAGTGTGTGTTCATGGAACAAACCTGTGCTTCTCCGAGGCTCCTCTCTAGCTCCTGAATACAAGGAGAGATCAACTGACTGTGCAGCTGTGCCATTTTAAACCTGAAGGAAAGAGTTATAGAAAAGATTAGTTGAAAGGAGCAGTATTCCCATTGATTTATCTTTTCATAGTTAGAAAAGGCCTGACGTTCTCCTCCCACAAGAACTGGGATTAAAACACATCTAGCGTATACAATGTTTCCATTAGGAAAAGGTTGTGCCGGTCAAATGTCCGAACATATTTTAATTTGACAGACAAATGCGAGATTTACCGGCCGTATCAAATAGAAAACCCATTTAAATGCCACCACGTGTAGGGTTATGCTTTTTTAGGAGTGCCCACTGCCACCAGTGGGTTTTAAACAACTAATTATTAGAATTCCATGTCGTTCGTTTTTTTTCCTGTGAGCTCAATGCGCAGTTTCTTTGGCGATAAATCAGATCAGGCCAAAACTGTGCGACGTAGGAGGGAGTTGTAGTTTCCAACAGGCCAATGTTCTACATAGTTTAGCACAAAACATGGCAATTAACTAATGACCATAATCCCTTTCATGCCTACTTTTCCAGTCTGTTTCTTTTACGCCTGCTACTTTAGGTTAGTGTGGGGCAGACATGGAGAGAAGAATGTGGGAGAGAGCAGTTGCTTCGGGAGGCATCTCGACCTAAAAATATATGACCTAAGTGAGAAAGTTGGTATTCAGCAGTCAAAATTTGAAGAACTACTAAAATTGTGATTTTGTCAGACAGCAGCTCTATAGAGATGAGATGACTTGGAATGAAAAAATAAAGTCATCAAATAAAACAAAAGCCATATACACAACTTAAATATTTTATTAAAGTGAATAAGTGATGGTTAATAAGTGTTAAGTAAAGAAATGTAGGAGTACAATGAAGAATATTTGAGGCAATACAGCTAGTCACGCACTGGTGCCCTAAATTAGAATTCCAGGTCGCACAGCAAAAATATTTAGGCGCATATGCAAGTAAAATGGTCTCAGTGTAGAGCCCTGAGCCTCGTCTGTCACAGACTCACTGGCGCGGGAAACTTTGAGCTGGTATCAGGTAATACAGTGTTGCAAGTTTGCTATAGCAAGAGCTCAAGACTGACAGGCAGAGTTGACAGAGTAGAGAGATGATGCGATTGAAAGACAACCAGAACCAACCTCCATGCATAGCCAAAGTGATTTATAGAGCATATTTATTTTCAGCAGAATGTTTTTATCTGGTTTTATGCATTTTTACCGTTCCAAAAGCCGGCAATTACCGGTCAAAGGAAACACAGTTTAAACCCAATACAGTGTTAACAATTCAATCAGAACACCTATGACCTGTGAAAAGCTTCCAAAGAAAGGAGGACTTACCTCCTGTGCAGCTCTCTGGCTTTGCTGGGCTCTGGGCAGTAGTGCTGTAGAGCTGTGATACAGTGTGCTGCCAGCATGCTGTAACACTGTTCTCTCACCGAGTTGTGGCTGCTGGTGTCCCACTGTGGCAGCTCGCTGGTGTACCTCCACGCCACTAGGGCGTGCTCCAGAGCAGACTCCCACTCTTGGTTCTGCAGCAGCAGCTGGCCCCACTCCTGGCAGGAAACCTGTGAGGAGGAAAATGCCAAGGTTCATTCAGACACACAGCAGGTGACCCAGCTTCATACCAATCACAACCCAGTTTATCAAAAGTCGAGCACATTGCAAGGAGATTTTCCAAGAATTTCTAGCTATTCAACCATCTTAGAAGCACTTAAGTCACACAATCAGCTCAAATAAAGTTAGAGCGCAAGTCTTAAAATACTTATTATTTATTGCAAGGAGATTCAATTTCAGGTCAATTATGCAAGGAGATTCAATTTCAGGTCAATTACCCAAGTTACATTCACATAAGGACAACTTAAAGAGCATATAACTAAAATGTTGATACTCACTTTAAACACCACAAGGTGTGGATATGCCTTTCTGTAACAGTGTGCGTCTCTGTTGGACCCCAGGCGTGAGTACGGTATAGATCTGTAGACATTGGTCTTCTTCAGGTGCAAGTCATCCTGTAACGGCTTCAGGTCTGTAATGAGGGCTCTGGGCTCCTGCCTCTGCCCCTGTTCTACTAGGATGAGAGATCTTATGAGCTGCACAAGCTGCTGGTTGGACAGGGGTGTCTGGTTGTCTTCCATTCTCTCACTCCGACTACTCCATGTTCTGTATATGGCTGGGTCCACTGCAAAACACACACCACTGTATTAGTCACAAGCCAACTAATATAAGACTAGAAACTGAGTGACATGATCCATTTAATTTGCTTACTAACATGAATGCCCACGTTTTGAGTTGCTGGTAATGTTTCTGCCTCTAGATGTGTTTGACAATGGAGCCATGCGTGAACTTAGAACCTCCAGGTAGGACCTTCGCATACGAGCTGCAAAAAACATTTGGCATAACTTTAGAGTGCATTTGTGACTACTAAAGGATCATAGATAACCCAGTTATAATATTCTAGTTGTACTAACGTTAGATAACAAAGCAGATGCAATGTATTGGTTCTTGCTGAATTAATAACTACAAACAAAATGACAAACAGCTCACCCACAGTCAACAATCTCCATTTGTTGCTTAGCTAAATGTCCAATATCAGCTAGTTATAATTAGGTAAATAGTTGTTAGCAAAGGCTAACAATAGGTACCATGTTGTGTCAATGCATTTGCTAACTTAAAGTTGGCTAGCTAACTAGCTAGTTGACCACACAAGTTAAATTGCCATTTTCAATATGTATTAGCAATATGACATGATTTGTTTGTTCAGACTTAGTGTTTAATTGGATCTTACTGGCTGACTATACAGCTATGATGAAAAATTGTTACAAAATATAAAGTTGCCGTTAGCTAGCTAGTTAGCCACATTTGTTCTTGGCGCGCGCTTAGTTCACCGAGGACAGCTGTTATGATGCTGCAGTGGAGGGAAATTTAGCTTGGCTAGCCAGCCACCTACTTTGTGAAGTTGTTGAAGTCAGACGTACCTGCAATTTTCGGCTGTGGAGCTGGGATTTCCACCAGGGCACGTCTTGAGTGACAAATGGTTGCCATATTAGATACGTTGGATCAAAACGACAGACCTCCTGCAAAAAGTTAGCCAGTTATGTCGTTAGCTGTCTAGTTAGCTAGGAAGCTGTCTAGTAGTGTACAGCCAACAAACTGTAAAGGTTGTACTAATAACACGCAGCTACTGCCTGCCAAGTAACTCAAATAAATGCCATAAAATGAAATAGTCCTTGACATTGGGGGATATGCACGTTGCTGACAAAACTTTGCAAAGCTCTTCTCCCGCGAATGTATGATAAAATACTGCCGCAAGAACTTACCGCGCGGGCGTGGTTTCATTATCCATCAACCTGATTGGTCATTGTCGAAACAGGCGCGTGCCTTTTTATTGGAGAACGGGATCTTGAATTGCGCTGTGTTGAAATACAAACAAAATAGCCGCTTAAATACGGTAGGCCGGCACATGTACTATTGTGAAATATGACTTATATAACCATTTGTGAAGTGGTTGAAGTCAGACACACCTGCAATTTTTGGCTGTGGGGATAATTAGCTAGCTACTTTATAGCAAAAAGACATAGCACTTGCAAACATTTCACCAGTTCTGTTGTGTTAGCTAGCAAGCAGAAGCTGTGGGTGACCATTGATGTACTTTCTTTTAATAACATGCAGATGCCAAGTAGCAAACAAATGACAACAAATGCATTATAATAATAATCATTGCTACAAATTAAAAAATCTTCTTCTGTGGGGTTTATCGGAGGTTGGCATCCAACGTTATGGAGCATTAACGCCACCTACTGTACTGGCCACTTACGAAAAAAGATTGCAGTCAGAGTGCAGTATAACTGCTGTTAGTGCAGTGTAAATACTGCTTCCAAAATAACAAAACATTTCCCCCCCCCGCAGTATTTTTGCAGTGTAAATGCAGTTAGAGTGCAGTATTACTGCTTCCAAAATACCACAGTCGACTGCAGTTACTGCATATTTTTTTGTAAGGGGCGTGTGGGCCAGAGAGGCAGGAACTAAATCCTACCAGCCAGCCCCGTTTCTCTTTTAAAAGATAACAACATATTTGAGACTGTATCTAATGATGTTCTACTCAGTATGATCTTTAAACTCAATTCCTGTACCCCCTTCTCCCTCATACTGGATCTCAGCCTCTCTATTTCCCTCTCATACTGCCCACACTGTATCAGTGCATGCTCAACTGTCTCTGTTTCCTGGCAGCAATCACACCTTCCTGTGGTTGTGACTAGAGGGAGTACAGCTCTGACTGGAAGTTACTTTTTGTAGCAGGTTAGCAGAGCATTTTAGCTAAACCTAACCCTTTTCCTAACCTTAACCTAAGTCTCCTAACCTGCTGCGTAAATTCTCCTAACCTGCTGCGTAAATTCTCCTAACCTGCCACAAAAAAGTCTGGTCTTAGCTGTACTACCTATAGTCAGAACCACTTCCTGTTGGATGCTTTCCTATCACATTTAATGTATTATTCAACCTGCTGTGTCCCACCCTTAGCCTTGTAAAGATGGCCTCCTCTCTTCTGTCTCTTCCTACCGTCCTCCCCTCCCGACTTTCCTCTGTACTTGGAATAGATGCCTGCCCTTAGTGTCTCTGTTCCACTGCTCCTGCCATCTCTGCACCACCACTGTCCATATTATTCCCTTAAGCCTCTTCCTTGCTCGTCGTCACCTCCACATCCACCTCCTCTCTCCTAAGGGCCTGTTTAGCTATCACATCTACTTCCTCATTCCCTTCCACCCCCACATGAGCCGGGACCCAAGCGAAACTTATCTGGATACCCATCTGTCTCACCCGGGCATGAATTTAGAGTACATTTACATTTACATTTTCGTCATTTAGCAGACGCTCTTATCCAGAGCGACTTACAAATTGGTGCATTCACCTTATGATAGCCAGTGTGACAACCACTTTACAATATATTTAAAAAAAACTCATATAACAGGTTGGAGGCTACTGCTGAGAAAACTTTACAGATAATCTGCATCTCGCAGGTTTTCTGATCACCTGATTGACCCATCAACATGAATGGTCATCGTCGAAACAGGTGTGTGCATTGCAATTGGAGGATGTAATTTTGAATTGAACCATGATGAGAGCCTCTGAAATACAGGTAGGCCTGCATGTACACAGGGGTCAAATACTGTGATGGAATAGTGTGAGAAATACCAATTAAAAAATTAATGTCAAAAACACAATTATTAGCTTGCATTATTCATATTCCCACCAGATTGGGTGTTTTTTTTTTATGTCCCATATTTCAGGCAAGAGCAAGCTGGGTTTCTTATATATAAAATAAAATGAGTATGTAAGTGTACATATACATGTATATGTAGGTATAAAAACAATATTTATTGATAACCAAATAATAGGCTGATCATTACATTTCAGAGATCATCACTGAGGAGGTCGCATTCAACATAAAATATGAATAATACACATGTATGTACATTATTGCCACTGTTAAAGCATTCCTTTTTTTGCCATTCATAGAATTAGACTAATTAAGTAGTGGATGTAAATTAGATAGGTCTACCACATTAAAATAGCAATACAGTTAATGTTTCAAGGGGATAATATACATTCATATTTGAATGATATTAGCATTTAACAGTAGCCTATATATATATATATATATATACAGTGCTATGAAAAAGTATTTGCCCCCTTTCTAATTTTCTCTACTTTTGCATATTTGTGATACTGAATGTTATCAGATCTTCAACCAAAACCTAATATTAGATAAAGGGAACATAAGTGAACAAATAACACAACAATTACATATTTATTTTCATTTATTTCATAAACAAAGTTATGCAACACCCAGTTCCCCTGTGTGAAAAAGTAATTGCCCCCTTACACTCAATAACTGGTTGTGCCACCTTTAGCTGCAATGACTCCAACCAAATGCTTCCTGTAGTTGTTGATCAGTCTCTCACGTCGCTGTGGAGGAATTTTGGCCCACTCTTCCATGCAGAACTGCTTTAACTCAGTGACGTGTGGGTTTTCAAGCATGAACTGCTCGTTTCAAGTCCTGCCACAACATCTCAATTGGGATTAGGTCTGGACTTTGACTAAGCCATTCAGAAACTTCAAATTTGTTGCTTTTTAGCAATTTCCATGTAGACTTGATTGTGTGTTTTGGATCATTGTCTTGCTGCATGACGCAGCTGCGCTTCAGCTTCAGCTCACAGATGGATGGTCTGACATTCTCCTGTAGAATTCTCTGATACAGAGCAGAATTCATGGTTCCTTCTATTAAGGCAAGTCGTCCAGGTCCTGTGGCAGCAAAGCATCCCCAAACCATCACACCACCACCACCATGCTTAACCTTTGATATGATGTTCTTACTGTGGAATGCAGAGTTTGGTTTTCGCCAGGCATTACTGGAACCATGTCGTCCAAAAAGTTATACTTTTGAATCATCTGTCCATAGGATGTTCTTCCAAGAGTCTTGATGATCATCCAGGTGCTTTTTGGCAAACTTGAGTCAACTTTTTGGACGAGATGGGTCCCATTATGCCTGGCGAAAACCAAACACTGCATTCCACAGTAAGAACATCATACCAAAGGTCAAGCATGGTGGTGGTGTGATGGTTTGGGGATGCTTTGCTGCCTCAGGACCTGGACGACTTGCCTTAATAGAAGGAACCATGAATTCTGCTCTGTATCAGAGAATTCTACAGCAGAATGTCAGACCATCCGTCTGTGAGCAGAAGCTGAAGTGCAGCTGGGTCATGCAGCAAGACAATGATCCAAAACACACAATCAAGTCTACATGAAAATTGCTAAAAAGCAACAAATTGGAAGTTTTGGAATGGCCTAGTCAAAGTCCAGACCTAATCCCAATTGAGATGTTGTGGCAGGACTTAAAACGAGAAGTTCATGCTTGAAAACCCACACGTCACTGAGTTAAAGCAGTTCTGCATGGAAGAGTGGGCCAAAATTCCTCCACAGCGACGTGAGAGACTGATCAACAACTACAGGAAGCATTTGGTTGGAGTCATTGCAGCTAAAGGTGGCACAACCAGTTATTGAGTGTAAGGGGGCAATTACTTTTTCACACAGGGGAATTGGGTGTTGCATAACTTTGTTTATGAAATAAATATGTTGTTGTGTTCTTTGTTCACTTATTTTCCCTTTATCTAATATTAGGTTTTGGTTGAAGATCTGATAACATTCTGTATCACAAATATGCAAAATTAGAGAAAATTAGAAAGGGGGCAAATACTTTTTCATAGCACTGTATATATATAGTACCAGTCAAAAGTTTGGACACACCTACTCATTCCAGGGTTTTTCTTTATTTTTACTATTTTCTACATTGTTGAATAATAGTGAAGACATCAGAACTATGAAATAACACATATGGAATCATGTAGTAACCAAACAAGTGTGAAACAAATCAAAATATATTTTATATTTGAGATTCTTCAAATAGCCTCCCTTTGCCTTGATGACAGATTTGCACACTCTTGGCATTCTCTCAACCAGCTTCACCTGGAATGCTTTTCCAACAGTCTTGAAGGATTTCTCACATATGCTTAGCACTTGTTGGCTGCTTTTCCTTCACTCTGCCGTCCGACTCATCCCAAAAAATCTCAATTGAGTTGAGGTCGAGGGATTGTGGAGGCCAGGTCATCTGATGCAGCACTCCATCACTCTCTTTCTTGGTCAAATAGCCCTTAGACAGCCTGGAGGTGTGTTGGGTCATTTTCCTGTTGAAAAACAAATGATAGTCCCACTAAGCCCAAACCAGATGGGATGGCGTATCGCTGCAGAATGATGTGGTAGCCATGCTGGTTAAGTGTGCCTTGAATTCTAAATAAATCACAGACAGTGTCACCAGCAAAGCACCCCCAAACCATAACACCTCCTCCTCCATGCTTTACAGTGGGAACTACATATGTGGAGATCATCTGTTCACCCACCCCGCGTCTCACAAAGACATGCCGGTTGTAACCAAAAATCTCAAATTTGGACTCCAGACCAAAGGACACATTTCCACCGGTCTAATGTCCATTGCTTGTGTTTCTTTGCCCAATCAGGTCTCTTCTGCTTATTGGTGTCCTTTGGTAGTGGTTTCTTTGCACCATGAAGGCCTGATTCACTCTGTCCCCCCTGAACAGTTGATGTTGAGATGTGTCTGTGACTTGAACTCTATGAAGCATTTATTTTGGCTGCAATTTCTGAGGCTGGTAACTCTGATGAACTTATCTTTTGCAGCAGAGGTAACTCTGGGTCTTCCATTCCTGTGGCAGTCCTCATGAGAGCCAGTTTCATCATAGCGCTTGATGGTTTTTGCGACTGTCGTTTCTCTTTGCTTATTTGAGCTGTTTTTGCCATAATATGGACTTGGTATTTTACCAAATAGGTCTATCTTCTGCATACCCCCCACCTTGTCACAACACAACTGATTGGCTCAAACGCATTAAGAAGGAAAGAAATTCCACAAATTAACTTTTAAGAAGGCACACCTGTTAATTGAAATGCATTCCAGGTGACTACCTCATGAAGATGGTTGAGAGAATGCCAACAGTGTGCAAAGCTGTCATCAAGGCAACAAAAAGGTGGCTATTTGAAGAATCTCAAATACAAAATATATTTTGATTTGTTTAACACTTTTTTGGTTACTACATGATTCCAAATGTGTTATTTCATAGTTTTGATATCTTCACTATTATTCTACAATGTAAAAAATAGTACAAATAAAGAAAAACCCTTGAATGAGTAGGTGTGTCCAAACCTTTGACTGGTACTGTATATATATATATATCATAATTGATCAATTACTGCAATTACTGCTCACACAGACAGATCAGTGAATTGTTCTTTGTGAAACACAAATGCTAGGCAACCTAGGCCTACTAATCTTCCTATTTTGGTGTTTCCATTATCAATACCGAGGCACACAAAAAGCGGAAGTCTTTGTAGCAACAGGAATACATCATAATTGAGATCATAATGTGAAGATACATCCAAATGTGTGATGTTATATTCTAGTGGGGCGGATGACCATATTTAGGTTGTTGGCTGCACTCTGAGTACCCCGGCTGTCCTTTATTGCTCTGCCCTGGATTGACCGCACTGTTTGTCCCTTTTGTATTGTAGGCTTTAGGTTTGGGGATCCTGGTTGGGCCTGGGCGTCGGAATGCTTCCAAGGGGATCTGAGAATAGACAGAGAGAAAACAGGGATCAATATACTTACGATACATAATGTAGGTTGTTTATGAAACTGACCACAAGATGGTGCCAAATAATGTTTTTTGGCATACAGTAGCCAATATCTAGCAGTTTTTGACAAAACACATGACAAAATCATTCATTACATGCTTATTAAGACATGTAGATGCCCATATATGTGTGCAGTATAACAAGTAGACTAATAAAACATTACTATTTAAGTAAAGCTTTGACATTTTTTTCAACACAACCGCTGTAAAGAATGGAACTAAAGAAATCCATGATTCTCTTTCTAATACTGTCTTTGGAGTTTATAGAGCTATTCACACACAAGTCATTGTTTTGCTCCTAAAGAAGGCCTATAAGAGAGAGTGGGGACGGAAAATGTTCGGAGACAGGTGTTGGATCGTATTTTAGCACCAACTGCCAAAACAGTGACAGGAAATGTCTCCTGTGGGGTTTGCATCACTGCACTGTTTACTGCACAATCAGCTTAAACTGTCGTCTAATGCGCCTAGCTCTCCGTCTCAGCTCTGCCAGAAGGTGATGTCACCGTAGGAGATCTTCATGTTTGTCATTGCTCTGCGTTTAGTTTAAACCCCTCTCTGCTCTCTGCTCAGTTTAAACCTCTCTCTCTCTCTCTCTCTCTCTCTCTCTCTCTCTCTCTCTCTCTGCTCAGTTTAAACCCCACTCTCTCTGCTCAGTTAAACCCCCCACCCCTCTCTATCTCCTCTGGATTTATGTAACTGCATGTGAGACTAGAGGGATGATGATGAGGGCACTTAGAGCGAAGAAAGACAAGAAGGAGAATAGATGATATCTGCGTCCCAAATTGCACCCTATTACCTATGGGCTCTGGTCAAAAGTAGTGTGCTATTTAGTGAATAGGGTGCCATTTGGGAGGCAGATCATCATGCACATTAAGGCATTCTCCCAGACCTGTTGCATAATGTAGGTTATTATACTGTAGTTTTGAACATTGCAGCTTATTTCATCACTCTTTCTTTCTCTGAGAGAGACCTCTTGTGAGACACTCCAGTTTCGTGCTGAAAGCTATTGAGTGAATCAATCCCAGTCCAAGGTGTGAGTGGTTAAAGACTGTTAAAGACCAACTGTAAGTGAGTGTGTATAAGTGTTTTATGGTTTCGAAAATTAATTCTAAAATGTGCAATGAACCATGTCCTTAAATCCATGCAGGACATAAATTTGAAATGTGTTTTGAAAATGAGGTTAATGGACCAGAAAATCTGTGTGGGTCATGTCAGGGGGCCATGTTGATTTTACACAGAATGACCTTTAATTATAAGCCTCCTCCCTTTGGAGCCATGCAACAGGAGTACTAGAGAAAGCACTTCCTCTGCCACGGACAGACCAGACTGCAGTTCAGTAGGCCGGCCTGCGTTCTGCAATACTGGCAAAGATGCACGGTTGTCTCCATGGCTACAAAACACAGGATTTGTTTGGTGCTTGGATTGAGGTGGGAGACATTATTTCACAGCACACTACTGGGCCTCAGGATCCTCGTTCATTCACAATATGAGGCCTTTGTTTGAAATGAGCCCTGCCCTGTCTGTTTATTTTCCTCTCCTTGTTCATTGGGCCTATCGGTCAAGGTGTTTGGATTCCATTGTAATGATGACCGTTATTGTAAACTACACGTGAATCCCATCAACTCCTAAACTAGCCTGTGATTAGCCTATGCAGGGTTGCCAGAAACCGCTAACATTCGGTTTTCAGGGATATAGTCTTTTCAACCTAACTTCTGTTTCCCCTGAATAACAGATGTGGGAACTCCGCTCAGGCGTCTTTTTACGCATGCTACGTTAGGTTAGCCTGTGACGTACACTGAAGATGACTCTCGCCTCTGATTGGCTACTGTATGTTCTGTATTGAAAAACAGCACGGTGGATGATGGTGCCGTGTGATTGTATAGCCTTCATAGACCTTAGATTTAGCTGACATGTCAAAGGTCATGAGTCAAGTGAGATATAAAAAAGGAAAGGGTGTGTCGGACTATGACGCCATCATCCATTCTACTTGCACTTTGCTCTTATTCGATATGGACTATGATGTACTTTTTTACATCAGAACATATGATCTGGCTCAAACAATGACCTCACTAGATGTGAATAAGTACGATCAGATAGATAATGACATGGAGGATATTTAAGGACACAGCCTCTCTGATCCCTTTAATGAATAGCATCTTGTTTAGCCTGCAAATTATTTTGGGCATTGAGAGATTGGGATCCTGTTTCCAAAGTGCAACGCTCCCAGCCTGAATTGACCTAAAGCTTGATATAGACAGCTCTTTATAGTGATACTGACTCAGAGGGTATTTGGATTGTGTGGCGTGTACACGTGTGAATGTATCGGACACAGTTATGTTTCATTCAAGTGAGCTTTAAATGACCAATGTTACTCTGAAGTCTCTTCATGATAAGCCAGTGCTTTGAGTGATGAGTGTGGTTTTTCTTCATTACTATAGTGCAATCTATTTGCATTGTTGTGTAGGCTACATTATAATATGCCATTAAAACAACTGTATGTATTTGCAAAAGAATCATACAACACTCTGATGAACATAAAAATCATTGATTCACATTGATACAGAGAGTTGCAGCAAAGAAACATCCACTTGGAGAAGACCCTCAATAGTTAAAGCACCTCTTGTTTGTCCAAGCTGACTTCCATGTACTTTCCATGGTATCATTAAAGAGGAACTTCAAATTCACTCATGCTAGTCTTTACTCTTGGTAACTGGGTTTCTGTGTTTTGGATAGAAGGAGAAACTATGACATCACCAGCCTATGAATTTAACTCAGCCAAGAAAACACATGTCAGAATTCTCTGGCTTTTTTATTTTTTCATTTTCTTATAAATTATGGATGTTAACACAAGAGTTCTTCTGAGAGGCCTTCTAGTAATATATATATATATATATATATATATATATATATATATATATATATATATATATATATATATATATATATATATAAAGTGGCTTTAAAATGCCCTATTCATTGTATGTTTGTGTCTTGATGGTTGAAGGACAATGGACTGCTATCAGAGGTTGTATTGATTGAATACTATTTCAAATAGTTAAGGTAGCACTTGAGCAGTGAAAATTAGATCACACTGAAAACTAAAATATAAAAACTAAGAGTTAGAAAACATGCAGAAATCACATTTATATATATATATTTGAATCTTGAAATATATTCCTCATTTTCATCATTCAGCATGCAGGGTTTACCACTTTGGAATGAGTAAATGAAATATGCAGGCATGGATGACAAACTAAAACAGACATTTTTGCACACTTTAATATTTAGAAAATAAATCGGCTTAAACAAAATGCAAGTAGTGTAATATGAAGTTTAAACAGAATTGAAACGGTCCATCAGTGAATAGTCTTAGTACATGGTATATTTACCAAATAGCATATACAGTAAAGTTACCCCGGTGTTCAGTAAAAGTTTCTTACTACTAGTGCCTTCAAAGGGTTATTGTTTTGGTTTGTATTTGAACGACAATTCATGCACGCGAACATCTTTCCAAACAGAACCAACCAAACAAACCCCAAACACAAACAGAGAAGCGCTTAGGTCGGACTCTCTTCATACAGATCAAGTCAAATGGAGGTGGAGGGAGCAATATAGGATGACTAGGGACTGAGGAGGTTGGGTTGGGATAGGCGATGGTAGTGGGTAGCGAGCAAACTAGGGTTTACTAATTAGGTATCTTGGGATGGGGAATCAGTCAATCATAGGCATTACTTACTGTAATTTGTGAAGGCCTTTTGATTGGGGTGGATGTTGGCTTTATAGTGATGCTACTTGTGATTTTGCTGTTGCCTTTGACAGGGGCACCATTGGATAATATAGGAGTTCTCTGCTCCTGCCCAGGTGAGTAGCATGGGCTCACAGGCTGGGGTGTAGTGTTTAAGCTCTGAATGAAGGGACTCCCTAAGTGAATGTGGATTTTGTTGTCCTCCGTGGTGATGACGTTGGGGCCGGAGCTGTTGGACCTCTGAACCTGCCAGCTGCTCTGCCTCTCTGGTGTCACCCTGAAGACTGCGTGACCTCCCACAACCTCTACCGGCTCCGTGGACAGGGACCGGTCAGGAGTGCCTGTTGTAACCGACACGATCTGGATGGGTGACATGGCCCTGTCTGGAGTGACCGACCCAGAGGAGTCTGGGGTCATCGCTCTGGAGTAGGTGGCCATGGTGAAGGGAGATATGGCTCGATCGGGAGTGCAGGGGGAACCATCTGACGAGGGGGACCTTTGACCTTTGTTTCTGGTAGTCGGGGAGATGGATGCGTTCTGAATTATGGTGATTCTTTGTTTGGGTGGACCACCGCTTGTGGGGATGACTGCAGTGCTGGTGTATGACTGTGTGTTTTCCGCGGTGGGGCTGGTGATTTCTAGCATGGCCATGTTATGCCCGTGGTCTGGGGTTACCTTGATGTGCAGTGGTTGCCCGGGGCTGTGTGTCAGAAACACGTCTCCTTGCTGCACATGGTTCCCATTCTGTCTGGGAACCTGCACTTTCCCGTTGACTGGGTTGTGGCTTTCTTTGGTTTTGAGGAAGGGGACTCTGGCTCTCCTGATGTTGTTGTTGAGGTTGTTGACATTGTTGATGAGGGAGGGGTTACATTGGGCGAGGGGCAACTCATTGTTGTAGTTTGGATCGTCCTCAGAGTCACTCTCTTCGTACAGTTTTCCGTTCACCACGGCCCGCTCCAGTGGGGCGATGCTCTTGTAGTTGGGTCGAAGGTAGTCTGCTGGATCTGTCTGTACCTCCTTGGTGCACACCTGTAAGTCTGAGAAACGCCTGCCGTTCATGCCTGGGCGGAGACTTTTGCTGAAGCGACGGTATCGCTCCAGCTCCCGATTGAGGGTCTCCATCTCTCTGGCCAGTTCTTTATTTCTCACCTCTTGCAGAGTCAGTTTTCTTTGCAAGGTGGAGTGGTCATTTTTAATGCGACAGATGTTTTCCTCTGTGCCCATATATTCATGGATCTTCTCTTTTAGGGCCGCCACCTCTCGGGTCAGATGGCTGGACTTAGCCTCTTCCTCTTTCAGACGCTTGTAGAGGATGTGCTCCTGGTTGGACTCTTGCTTCTCTGCCAATTGGTACTTTGAGAGCTCGTTCCTGGATATTTCCAACTCCTCCATCAAGGCCTTTGCTCGCTCTTGTGCCTTGGAGTATCTCTTCTCCATCGACTCAAACTCATCCTCAGTCTTCAACAAGTCGTCTTCGACAACCTTCATATCTTTAAGTTTTCGCCTCAGGCGCTCAACTTCCTGTGTAAGGTCTTTGACTTTGTATTCCTCTTGTTGGGAGCGGTTGGCGATGGGTGCCTTGATGCTTTCCTCTTTGGCTTTGTTCCTCAGGAATTCCCTCTCTGCAGCTTCCAGTGACTGCAACCTCTTCTTCATCATGGTAACTTTGGACTGCAGGTCGTTGCTCTTTTCCTCCTCGGCTTGGAGCTTGGCCTTGAGTTCATCCCTGTCCTTGGTGGCGCCACACATTTTCTCCTCAAGCTCAGCCTTCGACCTTAGGGCTTTCTTGCTCTCGTCGATAAGCTTCTCTGTCACTGTTGTGACTTTGTCCTGCTCAGCTTGCAGTTTTCCAGTGCTGTTATGGACCTTGTCCTCCATCGCTTTCAGTTTCTCAGCCATGGTCTTCCTTTCATCCACCAGCATGACCGTCAGCGTCTTTAGCTTGGTGAGGTCTTCCTTTAGGGTAAGCTCTGTCTTCTCCAGCTGACCCTCCACGGCCTCCAGTTCTTTAACCCTCGCTTTCAGGACGTCCATCTCTCTGGACAGAACCTTTGACACGGTCATCTCTTTGTCCAGATTGCACTTTAGCGCGTTGCACTCCTGTTTGCTCTTGCCGAACGCATCCTCTAGTTTCTCCAGCTCCATGATCCTGTGGTTCAGCTTGTCCACATCAGCCTTCAGGCTACGGCTTTGGCTGGCTTCCTTCTCCAGCTTCTTGTTGAGGTCCCTGCACTGGTCCTCCATTCTGACCAGCTCCTCGTCCTTCCCCTCCATCTCCAGAACCCTTTTCCGTAACTCCTCCACCTCGTCCATGAGGCTGGAGTTGCCACATTCCCCGCGGCTGATCTTGTCCCTCAGCTCCTGGAGCTCGTCCTCAGCCCTCCGGAGGGTCTTGTTGGTCTCTTCCAGTTCATCCAGCTGCCGGCTGAGCATGGACAGTTTCTGCTTGAGCTGCCGGTTTTGGGCATCCTCGCTGGTCAGTTTGGCTGTCATGGTCTCCTGTTCCTGGTGGAAGCGACTGGCTTGGTCGCCTAGCTCCGTCTCCAAGCGAAAAACTTTCTCCTCCCCCTCTTGCACCCTTGCATTAGTGGAACTCAGCTCTTCCTGGGCGTGGGATGCGCTGGCGGTCAGTTCCTGGACCTTAGCAGTCTGTTGGGTCAGTTGCTCTGTGAGGCGCTGCTGCTCGTCCACGACCATCAACGCAAAGGACTTCAGCTTGGTCAGCTCCTCCTTTAGGCTGGTGACCTTCTTGTTGTTCTCCTCCTCTTTCCTTTCCTGATAGGCCTTTTCCTGGTCAATGAGCAACTTCAGTCTGAAAGAAAAACACAAGAAGAAGAAAATAAGAAAAAAAGTTAGAAGAAAGAAAGAATGTTGAACTTTTCACAGATACACACATTGGACAACAGACAGATGGGTGGAGAAAGTGATGGATGACACAGGGAGCAACGTAACACAACACAACACAATATCAATAATATAATATAAACAATATACAGTATATCAGCTTGGTAGACAGTTGTCATTGGTTGTTTGCTTGTGAAATGTGAAATGTGTCTAATTCTTATTCCCAAAGTGCCATCGGGCCTATTATTAGTAGGAATGCAGATAGACCATGAACACTCATGGGTGTCACATTTGTCTGACCATACTGAATGGATTTCTGAAGGGGTTTGACATTTTTTGTAATGGAAACTTTAACAGATGATAAATATAACTGTGCTGTAACTTTCCCAGGTCAGTAGCCTGACATACACTTGCAGTGTTCCTTTTTAGATCCCCCGATAGCAGTTAACTCTCACATGGGTTGGAAACTCTACATGCTGTAGTAAATGTGACATGTGAGTCCGAAATAGTACTTCTTATAGTCATTCTTTTACAAATTGATTTACAACTAAAATATCTAGATTACCATTATTTTGGATTTGCATTACTTATGTCCCGTATTACTTATCTACTGTTACTTAAAAAAAAAAAGAGAGAATAGAGATTGGATAAAATGCAATGTTTCTACTGTGTGAGGATGTTCTGTCCAAATGCACTCTGATCTTTGGCTTTGGTGGCTAGACCTTTCTGGAATGCTGAATGTTTACCCTGACCCGTATCTGACAAGAATACTCCCATCAGCCCAAATCAAACCGTAGACTAAACCTTTATTCAACCACACTGATGCTTTTGAAATGTCCCACTGAGTACAGTCCTCTTTCATACCTGTTAGAAGCACCTACCCTGCTTAAATAAACAACTAAACTTACATTGTAGTTATTTTAATGTCTAGAGTAATACTGAGTTCATAGTGTGCACTTGTGTAAGCGTCGGCCCATGTAAGTGTACAGTCTACTGTATGCACAGCATATGTAACAGAATCACGGGGGAAGCTGGGGTCACGGTGGCTGGCAGGGTATGCATCTCACCGGGCCAGTGTGCCTCCGCTCCAGGCAGCGTTGGAGGGGATGTTATGACTGCTGCATGTGCAGCTGCCAGCGTGCTAGCACAGATGTCGAACTGGCATGGAACAATCCCCTAATTAAGGGATTCCTCTACTACCCCCTCCCTCCCTCTCTCTCTGGTTATATATTTGAAGGAATCCCCCCCCCCCCCCCGGCTGGATAAACAGAGGGCCTCTCTCAGTGATCACTAATTACATCAGCATGGTAGGGCTGGGATTAAGGCAGGTCCCTGGTAGAGCTGGGGCTAGGGCAGGTTCCTGTACCCGTCCCCCTACTGTGTGTCAACTCCGAGTGGAGGAGGTGGAGGGGTTAATGTCCTATGATGTTAATCCTATGATGTCCCATATGTTCCACATGTTCCATATGCTCCACATGTTCCACTGTGCCAGAGATCTGATGATCAAAGCTGATTAGCTTGAAGTTGATGTACAGCAGGGGAGCATCAGATGGGGAGGAGTTTGTAAATGCTTTTAGTGTCCCCACTGAGAAAGTTCACAATGGGAATTTGTGGGATAATCAGTTCTACAATATCTGAAGACATTTTGAAAATCATGATAGGCTATTAATATTGCTGAGACGTTAAGGCAGAGCAGAGGACTGTCAGCCATTGAAAGTCCTCAAATGTAGCTAGAATGCCTTATTTATATCCTTGTTTACTCTAGCAGTTATCTCCACTACCACTATTTTCCCAGTGATGTAATCAAACCAGAATAGAATGTGAACTGAGCCGAGGTCCTGGACTTCAGACTCTGCTAGTTAGTACAAGTCGACCTGGTTTCCCCATTTTTAAACAGAAAGGGTTACATTCTGAAGATACATTATGCAAACAGAAGATACATTCAGGGAAACTTCCATGTATTATTAATCAGGTGCTTGAGATCAGCCAAGGCATAGTAGGCTATATGATGTCTCTGGTGAGGAAATGGCATGTATTCCCTAGGATCCTGATCACTTGACATAAGAATACTGTATCCCTCCTAAGGGACAATCGTTGGATTCTGTTTCCCATGGACTCAGAAGTCTGCTGGACAAGTGGGACTTGACAATAGAATAACAAAACTTGGGAGAGCAGAAGTTCAACTGCCAGTGGGTCAACTGTGACTACTGTAAGTCGCTCTGGATAAGAGCGTTTGCTAAATGACATAAATGTAAATGTATATGGTTGAAAAGCGAATAAGAGAGGCATGAGAGTTACCACTTGAAATTCTCAACGGTTGCCAATGAATGATGTATTAGTTTACCCAGTTCATCCTTATACGGCTTTGCATTCAAACTTGGTTATACAAGATGTCAGCTACAGAGAACAGCAGCTTTGTTGATTAATCATTGAAAAACTACCGAATCCTATTCTAAATGAATGAATTCTATTGCGCGATTACCTTTGGGATTTTACAGGAATGGTGATTACAAGGCCACACTTGATTGAACTATTTATTTTGTCACTGCCAATTTTCCAAATAGAGTCAGTCTGTCTAAAACGGTACATTCCCATAAGGAGTTTCTATGTCATGGAAAATAGAGTGGTGCATTCTGCATGGTAAGCAGTTGAGAAGTGGGTGCGGGTGCAGATGGCTATTAACCCAAAACCAACCATTCACCTACTGACCTCTTCTGAGCAACATCAGCATACAGACGCTCGCGCACACACACACACACACACACACACACACACACACACACACACACACACACACACACACACACACACACACACACACACACACACACAGCCAGCAGCAGGATGTCACCATGCCCACTATTACGGCGAAGGCCACAGAGGGCTTTCCTCACATTTAAATAAGCAGCTGTGGCCAGTGGCCTCAGAGCTGGAAACTATGGCTCAGACTCTGTAAACAGTGCTGCTGCTGAGATGATACAGGACATGGCAGTAAACAGTGCTGCTGCTGAGATGATACAGGACATGGCAGTAAACAGTGCTGCTGCTGAGATGATACAGGACATGGCAGTAAACAGTGCTGCTGCTGAGATGATACAGGACATGGCAGTAAACAGTGCTGCTGCTGAGATGATACAGGACATGGCAGTATTTTGTGTGTATGTTTTAGAAGTTAATGTCCAAGACAATGCCGTTGTTATAGAAGTCAATTTCCTGCCATTTCCTTAAAACACCAGATTGTATTTTACCTTTATTTTAACAGGGAGTCCCTTTAAGACCAAGCTTCTATTCCTCTTTCACACAGGAGCATACACATACTTTACAAAATACATTATAAAACAATGATCTGTTCATGTCTGATCCTGAAGCCTGTTTTTAGTGTAAATAGATAGAAGCAGTCAGTCTGTTAGGAGGATTCTTCCTGGAGTGCGTTATGAAAGAGACATAGGAAGCTAGCCAGGATACGTCCAGCAGAGGGCAATCAGTAAGCAGTATGGGTTCATAAAATTATAGGCAGTATTTGTATGCCTTTAGTTGAATGACTGTGCTAGTTTAATATTTTATTTTTAATAGTTACATTTTAGGGGTTTAGCTGGCTATGCTGTATGTTACATAATCAATAGCTCATAATAAAAACAATTATTTTTCAGGTTCTTGAATTCATTGTAATATCTGAGTTTTATATTCAAACTTAATTTAACTTGTTGGTTCATAAACGTACCACTCAGAAACAAAGATCATGGAGTATGTGAAGTGATTAATCTTTCACAGGAGAGCAGGTTCAAATAACATTTATCATCTTTTTTATTTCACCATGCACATTTCCCCCGGATTTTCACAGACAGAGTGTCGTGTGAGTGTTGAGTGGCCCGTTCAACTACACTTACGAAATGAACCACTGAATTAACCATAGCTTTAACTCATGACTTCACACACTGAATCAGCTTCTACCAATGTCCTCCCTCAATGGTACGTTTGAAAATCACAATTAGGGAATGAATATTGTGCACAAATTGTTACAATATTTAGTTACTGTACTTAGCATCCCTTCAATTGTAATCACAGTTTCCAAAATATCAGACTGAAATTTGTCAAAATTGTTTCAGCATTTTTTCATGAACTTGTTGAATGAAACATTTATTTCTAACAGATTGCATATAATTTTATCCCAAAAGACAAAACTTTCCCAGAGTCAGAAATCAATTCTTTACACTAACCGAACGGAATATGTAAATATCAAAGCTGTACTTATCCCCCTTGCACTCAGTCACAGTGCTCCATAACGAACCAACAGAGCAGCTAAGTTGAGTTAAAGTTGCCTTGCCTCCTACCTGTTCCATAGGTCTGTCCGGTGGCAGCCTCAGTGATTGAAGCTCATTATGTTGCAGTACTCTCTCTGTCTCTCAGCTCTCACACAGCGGTCTGTGATGTGGACATTCCAGCAGGGAGACCAAACAATAAGAGATGTCTCACTGCATGCTCCCTGCCTTTGGAGCATTACATCATCAACATGCCCTTATATGGAACTTTGTGTTGTACAGCCTCCCTGCCTCTCAAAGGGGTGTGTGCTCCAGTGTGTGTGTGTGTGTGTGTGTGTGTGTGTGTGTTTCAGTGTGTGTGTGTGTTTCAGTGTGTGTGTGTGTTTCAGTGTGTGTATGTGTTTCAGTGTGTGTGTGTTTCAGTGTGTGTGTGAGTGTGTGTGTGTGTGTGTGTGTGTATGTGTTTCAGTGTGTGTGTGTGTGTGTGTGTGTGTGTGTGTGTGTGTGTGTGTGTGTGTGTGTGTGTGTGTGTGTGTGTGTGTGTGTGTGTGTGTGTGTGTGTGTGTGTGTGTGTGTGAGAGAGACAGATTATTTGCATGTGGGCTTAAGCGTATGTGTGTGTGTGTCCACCTAGGTGTGGTTGTGTGTGTGTGTGTGTTTGTTTGTCCACCTAGGTGTGGTGTGTGTGTGTGTGTGTGTCCACCTAGGTGTGGTGTGGGCTTTATAACAAGAATAGAGAGGAAAAGTGTTGAGCGACGTCTGTAACGTGTGAAATATCTGCTCTCTCTGGTCTGTCTATACTCCAGAGGCAGAGGGTGAGGAGAGACAAGCGCTTTAGGTTACAACATTTCCTTCTGGCTTTCCTCAGTAAGAGTCATGCATTCAACTGAGGAAGAAAAGACACAATTAACTTGACCGACAACCGTGTTTAGTAAGGAAATCTGTGTGTGTATGGAATGTATTATTGTACTACACTATTAGATCCGAACCGAATTAGAAACATGCCAAACATTTACATGCAACACTTCACACAATCGACAACACAAACATACCGCAATAGTATATGGTACTCTACTAATCCATAATGATGGATTGTATGTAAGACCGTTATTAGGGACTGCTAATCGAGTGCTGTCAGGACTTTTATTGCATGACCGTTCATCTAGAAACTGTCCTCACATTTACAGCTCACAATTCACATTTACAGCCCTCGTATTATCACAGACGGCTCATTTCTCAATCTATTCTACAGTGTGCTTATCTTTCCCTTGTTACCAAGACTCCTCTCTCCACTTCAATTCATGCAAGCAAAATAATAGATTCACACTAAATAGCTGGCAGCAAACTACACTCTAATTTAGACTGAGCTAGTACCCAACTGCATTAAGTTCAGCGGCCAAAAATCCTGGACATAGCCTGCTAATAGAGATCATTGAGTAAATTGTCCTCCCGTATCGGTTCAATGTCCCTATTATCGTCGGACAGAACATCAGCTGTTCGCTGAAACAATGGAGTCCACAGCAACAGCACGGACCTAACATGACATCAATCATCCTCGTTAGGAGGAATCAAGGAAACGCTGGGACACTTCCTGTCCCAAAATCCTCTAAATCAGATGTCACAGCTTCACAATGGGAGCCAAAGCTTGGTTGCCAAGCTGTAGAAAATTAAGAAATACTGTCAAGACAATGTAGAATAGAGATGTCCATTGAAGGCCAGAGAGCAAGGAACCAAACAACCCCCTCCCTCCTTGTTAGTGGTTTGAAAATTGCAGCAACCACAATGAAACAAATACGTCATTTGACACGGTGCAATCAAGTTTCTTGAGAACATTTTGTGGTGATAACCCCCGATTATACAACGGACCAAACAACCAAATACTGATTACATTTGACTCTGTCAAGATCTTTCTAGAATTTTTATAACAATTTGTTTGTTCTTGACGTAAACACATTCCTTCATTTAGAAAGCCCAATTAGAATTTGTCTATTTCTGAATCGGGACATTTCCAACACATCCTAGACAGAGTGCTCCTGATCCCAGATGTTCTTCATTGAACATGAAAGTTGGCCACACAAACATGTTCTCTATGTGAAGCATCTGCCAAATTATAAATAGTGGAAAAACGAATCCCTGTTTTATGTAATGTCTTGGTACATGAGTCTTCCTCTGACACTCCGAAATGGAATGTAGAGTATCATGAATCAGCTAGATTGAGTGAAAATGTGTGGTTTCAGAGAACATTTCCCATGGACACACAATCCTAGAGCCTTCGGAAAGTATTCAGACCCCTTGACTTTTTCCACATTTTGTTACGTTACAGCCTTTTTCTCAAATTGATTAAATCATTTTTCCCCTCATCAAGCTACACACAATACCCCATAATGACAAAGCAAAAACAGGTTTTTTGAAAGTTTTGCTAATTTATAAAAAATAAAAAACTTAAATACATAAGTATTCAGACCCTTTACTCAGTACTTTGTTGAAGCACCTTTGGCAGCGATTACAGCCTCGAGTCTTCTTGGGTATGACGCTACAAGCTTGGCAAACCTGTATTTGGGGAGATTCTCCCATTTTTCTCTGCAGATCCTCTCAAGCTTTGTCAGGTTGGATGGGGAGCGTTGGTGCAGAGCTTTTTTCAGGTCTCTCCAGAGATGTTCGATTGGGTTCAAGTCCGGGTTCTGGCTGGGCCACTCAAGGATATTCAGAGACTTGTCCCGAAGCCACTCCTGCAATGTCTTGGCTGTGTGCTTAGGGTCGTTGTCCTGTTGGAAGGTGAACCTTCTCCCCAGTCTGAGGTCCTGAGTGCTTTGGAACAGGTTTTCATCAAGGATCTCTCTGTACTTTGCTCCGTTCATCTTTCCCTCGATCCTGACTAGTCTCCCATTCCCTGCCGCTGAAAAACATCCCCACAGCATGATGCTGCCACCACCATGCTTCACCGTAGGGATGGTGCCAGGTTTCCTCCAGACGTGACGCTTGGCATTCAGGCCAAAGAGTTCAATCTTGGTTTCATCAGACCAGAGAATCTTGTTTCTCAAGGTCTGAGAGTCTTTAGGTGCCTTTTGGCAAACTCAAAGCGGGCTGTGCCTTTTACTGAGGAGTGACTTCCATCTGGCCACTCTACCATAAAGACCTGATTGGTGGAGTGCTGCAGAGATGGTTGTCCTTCTGGACGGTTCTCCCATCACCACAGAGGAAATCTAGAGCTCTGCCAGAGTGACCATTGGGTTCTTGATCACCTCCCTGACCAAGACACTTCTCCCCCAATTGCTCAGTTTGGAAGAGTTTTGGTGGTTCCAAACTTCTTCCATTTAAGAATGATGGAGGCCACTGTGTTCTTGGGGACCTTCAATGCTGCAGAAATGTTTTGGTATCCTTCCCCAGATCTGTGCCTAAACACAATCCTGTCTTAGAGCTCTACGGACAATTCCTTCGACCTTATGGCTTGGTTTTTGCTCTGACATGCACTGTCAACTGTGGGACCTTATATAGACAGGTGTGTGCCTTTCCAATACATGTCCAATCAATTGAATTTACCACAGGTGGACTCCAATCCAATGTAGAAACATCTCAAGGATGATCAATGGAAACACCTGAGCTCAATTTCAAGTCACATAGCAAAGGGTCTGAATACTGATGTAAATAAGGTATTTATGTTTTTTATTTTTAATACATTTGCTAAAATTTCGAAAAACCTGTTTTTGCTTTGTCATTATGGGGTATTGTGTGTAGATTGCTGAGGAATTGTATTTAGTTAATCCATTTTAGAATAAGGCTGTAACGTAAAACAAAATTTGGAAGAAATCAAGGGGTCTGAATACTTTCCGAAGGCACTGTATGTATCCACAGCTCCCAAAGTGTGTTGTGCTGAATATCGCTTATGTCTATATTACATTTTCTTATACATGATTTGTAAAGCATTTATGTAGGTCTTATAAAGGTCTCATGGCTTCATCAGGCCTTTGTAAGACATTATTGGTTCAAGTGACCTTCTCTTGAGACTTGCCAAGTGAATAAAACCAATGTTTCAAGCCACAAGTTCTATACCATATAGGAAGAACCACCATGACCCACCATTTGGGAATCAAACCATGCCCCTAGATGACAAATGGACTCTCTGCACCCTGTGAGTGATGGGAGTGTGCAGACTGTCAGTGCTGTGGTAGTGTGCAGACTGTCAGTGCTGTGGGAGTGTGCAGACTTTAAGTGCTGTGGGAGTGTGGCAGACTGTCAGTGCTGTGGGAGTGGGTGAGCTGCAAGTGGCTGTGGGAGTGTGCATACTTTAAGTGGCGTGGGAGTATGCAGACTTTAAGTGCTGTGGGAGTGTGCAGACTTTAAGTGCTGTGGGAGTGTGCAGACTGTCAGTGCTGTGGGAGTGTGCAGACTGTCAGTGCTGTGGGAGTGTGCAGACTGTCAGTGCTGTGGGAGTGTGCAGACTGTCAGTGCTGTGGGAGTGTGCAGGCTGCAAGTGCTGTGGGAATGTGCAGACTGAGACACATGTTTGCGTGATCCTCACTCCATGCCTGGGGCCTGATTACCTGACACATATGACATCACTAGTCCCTTAATCACATCCATATGCTACTTTTTTCGTCTCTCTCTCTCTCCTCTCTCTCTCTCCTCTCCTCTCTCTCTCTCTCTCTCTCTCTCTCTCTCTCTCTCTCCTCTCTCTCTCTCTCTCTCTCTCTCTCTCTCTCTCTCTCTCTCTCTCAGTAAAGGCAGAACTGAGTATGTAGTAGGCCAGGGTGAGTCTGGGATCCTTTGACCTCGTAACAAAATGCACATAACCTGGCTGGCTGTGGAGTCTGAACATCCTGAGGGCTGCTTTACAGGTGTTTAAATGGACGCCACCTTCACCCCCATACCCCTCCTCACCACCACCACAACCCCTCAGGGGAGTAAAAGGTATGTCTTTCTACCCAGTTATACTGTCTCAGAAATAGTCTATCTGATAGTATTGTATCAGTGTTACATAATATATAGTATTGAGTACCACAGTATGAGTCATAAAACACGGGAATGGTTCCAATCGTATTTTCACCCTTCATTTTTCCATCTGGGATTTTAGAACTACTTCATAGAAGGTCTGTGTTTCGTGTAGGCTTACCCTGGCGTGACGTTTTGACCTCGGACAAGGTAACTTTGATCAATAATTAGCATTGAGAATTGTTTTGAGTAAATTGAGGCGAATATATTGATAAAACTCACCTTGTCCGAGAGAGAATTACATGGCTATCAATACGTCATG